TTTTTTTTTTTTGGAAAATTTTGGTATCTAATTGAAGTGTTATTGTTTGATGGAAATTTCAAAGTTTAGGTTAGTTGTTGTTGCTGTTGTTGTTGTTTTTTTTTTTCTTTTTTGACATCTTAATCGATTATCAATATATGGTTGTCACTGTCAATCAACGGATTATTACTGTTGCTGATCAAAGACAGAAAGAAGAAAAAAAATTGCTTTTTTTTTTTTAGGACAATAGAAAAGTACACAGAAATTAGTTGTGACTACTTTTGGAATTACTGTGTGTTTGGAAGAAAAACATCAAAAACTGCCCTTTGTTCGTTTTTTTTCTCTTTTGTTTTTTTTTTCTTCTTTTTTTTTTGACGAGAAGGGATTGATATTGTTGTTAAAGTTTTTTTAGATGTTGTTGTTGGCGGTGTTGGTGGTGGTGGTGGTGGTGGTGGTGGTGATGGTGGTGATGGTGCTGTCATTTTGCTACTTCTAAATTAGATGTGACTATGTTGCATTTTTTTTGTTTTCAATTATAATGGTCAATTTTATATTAAAAATAGGATTTTTTTGGATATGAAGCCATTGTTTCTTCCCCTCTTCCTTCTCACCTCATCTTCATATCTGTTTGATTTTTTGGATAAATTTTTGAATGAAATTTTAAAAGTGGAAAGAGCGGAAGGCAGGGAAGGAAAAAAAAGTTTCATTTTTAACAATATATTTACTGACAGAAAAAAAAAAAAAAAAAGTTGTCAAAAATTAAAACTTTTGTTTTTGTTATGGACTAAGGCAACAGAACAAAACATATTATTAGTTAGCCAAGTTTGATCATATTAGAAAGGGCAGGCATGATGTTGGGCAACTGAATGGGTTAGTTTACACTGCAAAACTACCAGTGAAGAGGTAGGCTCAACATTGAACGATCACATTTTCACTTACTTCAAATATGATTCTGTATTTTGTGCTATTTTAAGAATACAGACAAATTTAGCAGCAACAAGAAAAAGTTTTATCCCCTTTTTTTTTGTTTTTCTGTTGTTTCTTTTTTAATTCTTTAAAAGAAAAAATTAACTTTTTTTTTTTTCCTTTTGATGATGACGATGTTGTTGATCGTTATTACAAAAGAAACAGATGCTGTACAATGTTTCGTATAGTTGTTGTTGTTGTTGCTGTTGCTGCTGCTGTTGCTGCTGCTGATTCTGCTGATTCTGCTGAAAATACGTGTCTGATTGTATGTGCAAAAATTAACTGTTTGAAGAACATTTGGAAAAAGGAAAAGTTTATTGCTCGTTTTAGTAAGCAAAAAAAAAATTAAAATAATAGTTTTATTTACATAGCAAAAATTTTTGTTCTTTTTCTTCAATGAAAAATATAATTTTTTTTTTACAGTAAATTTCTGTAATTTCTATTCGTCTGCTACTTTTTTTTTTTGTTTTTCTTGTTCTTTATAGATAGTTTTTGAAGAACAGTTTAAATTTGTCAGTTATTATCAGTCGTTGAAATGCTTAATTGTTTAGTCTAATCAATTTGTTTTATGCAAAAAAAAAAAAAAAAAAAAGAAAAACTTATTAAATTTATTGGTCTCATTGTACTCTAAAAATTTATT